TTCATTGGCTCATCAACTACTTTCTCATAAAAAAACCTCTTTTTTAATTTATTCAAATACGGTGTCACAAAATTGATGCTCAACAGTAAATCAATGGAAATATTTTGAGCTTCAAGTTTGGCTTTCCCAAACACTTCTTCTCGATCTATACTCTTTGAAAAATACAATCAATCCTTTCAAGAGATTTAAAGTCACATAATCCGAAGAAATCATAATCGAAGTAACAAGTTTCAAATATAATGAATTAGTTAATTAGTTAATTACTTAATGCTGAAATCTAATTCTCAAATCCGTATTTGAATTAGCCAATTAATTACTTAATTGGCGAATCGCAGATGGCAGATGCATGGAGTAGGGACCGGTAATAGCTATTTTTGCAACCTTGGTTATTATACACTTTCCTAATTTCTTCCTAATTTCCTATTGGCCCATCCAGATAGGCGGCCCATGCTCGCATGTCTTTGTCAGATCTATTGTTTTATGAATAGCTAATTTGTCACTTTCTCATTGGTTAACAAAGAAATAAATAACTTTATCAAAAAAAAAAAAAAAAAACAAAGAAATAAATAACATGACATTTAACTCACATAAACTCACATAATATTATGGCTAAAAAAGCTAGGAAGCATTAAATATATCCACCCTTTATGGCTAATTAATAGCTAAGAAATGATTAACATGTACCGGCCAGTTGAACAAGACTCTCCATGGCTCGACCAGATTAAAAAAACATTCCATACAAATACCATAATTGTTTACATTATCATTATGTAATAAATCATTTGTTTTAACTTAATTGGCTCAATCTACTGAAACTTATGAAATTGTCGATGAAATAGCTGAGTTGATTAAATTTAATGAATTATGTAAAATTTATATTTAAGATCTATTGTATTAATCAAATTAATTAAGAAAAATTACATCAAAATAATATCTAAAATTGTCTTTTGCATTAACTTCAGCTAATTTAGTAAAAAATAAAACTTCAATCTTACTTATTCTTATTATTACATAGTTCTGTGCATGAAGTAAAAAATTACTAGTTTGCTAAAACAATTGGTTGATAAAATGAAAAATAGAGGTTTCTAAAAAAGCTCAAAACATATATGGAGTAATACTTTTATACTTCGTATATGATAGATGGGTAATTTAATAATCACCTACAAATACGAATTTATAATTGGTTGTGGGTAGTTCATGAGAAAAATTCACTATATACATCTTTGAATTTATAAGTAATTCGCAGAATCTATTACGGAGTAGTATTTTTCATTTTAACCAATATCAAATAATCGTGGATGACGGGTTTAGCTTACCGGCAGGTTATTTTTGAAACAGACTGTAAGCAACTTGTTGATGATGTTCTCTCTAATAGGGATATTCGATCTGAATATGGGTCTCTCGTGGAGGATTGTAGATCACTTCTGAATGCTCATGCTGGTTATCATGTTGTGTTTAGTAGGCGACAAGCGAATGGTTGTGCCCATGCTTTGGCTAAGACATCTACTATGTATGCTTCTTGCAAGCAATTTTTATTTATCCCCAGTTGTATTCTGAATGTTATCAATAATGAAATGCAGTAAGTTTTTCTCTTTCAAAAAAATAGTTTTGCATCTAATACGGAGTGTGATTTATATGTTTAGTAGTGTTGGGATATTGGTTCCAGGCCCGATATCCCTAGGCCCAAATCCGGGAAGAAGCTGCAAGCCCAAAGAACTCCCGAACGGCATTCGGGATAAAACTTATACTTGGAACATTCTGGGAAACAATTATGCCAAAGTATCAAGGCCCAAATATCAATCGGCGTTCGGGATACTTCGGGTAGAAATTATCACTTATGGCAGGGTCCCACACACCGAACACCTTGCCCGAACGGGCGGTCAGCAAGTGGAGGCCGCATTTAATGCTGGATCATGACAGCGGCAAGTGGGGGCATGGGTGCATACATGGCAGAAGTGACAGCCTACCGGATTTGGCCACGTGTCCACCTCACCCATCCCTATTTTAGTATAAATACCCATGTTTAGATCATTGTAAAAGGTTAGCATTTTAATACTCAGAGCTTAGCAATAGATTTACATCTCCCATCCTTGTAATCTCATATTCATCTACCGTTCGGGTAGTTCCAGTGTAATGGCTTAATTACAGAATATAAGTAAGTTCTTGAGTGAATATTATCTGACCATTTTATATTTTATACACATTTCAACCCTATCCAATATCCCTACAATATCCAAGGCTTGTGTTGGGCTTTCGGATCTTCGGGAATAAACCTCAACATTGGCGCCGTCTGTGGGAAACCACACTAAAAGTCCAGACAAAGCCGTGATCTAAGCACCATTTTTTTCTTGAAAATGGCTAGACTTACTACCGCGACACCGAGTTCTACATCCAGAGGCCGAGGAGGCAATAGATCCTCTGAGGGGTGGTCCATGCAAGGACACGCCAGTGGCAGTGCCACCCGGGAGTTCGAGCAAATCATCCCCCGGGATGTAAGGATGAACCCTCAGTTGATGAGGGAGATGGCGGAGGCCATGCAACGCATGGCGGACGAACAGGAACAGGGCTACACCGATGAAACTCGTGAGCCACCATCCCCGTTGCGTCCCATGCCATCTTTCGACGAAGAGGGGGACATTGAGACCACGATGGCCTCAGTTCATTCCGAGGAACACCGCAGGAACCACTGGAGGGCCCATACCCCCAGACGTGAAGCACCAACCAGCCGAACCCCGTCCGCCCCTCGAAACGGATATAGGGAACCTACCCCCATGGTAGATCCCGTTGGACAACACTTCCAGTATATCCAGAGGGATGGGGAACGCTTCATCCGGAGAAGAGCTAACACAACTGCCCCTCCCCAAAACAGAATACCGGAATATGTGGATGCTAGGATACCACACACTCCCCGAACGGCCCAAGACGACGAAATGGCCGAAATGAGAAGACAGATGACTGAGCTCAGAGAGCAGGTCAATCGGACGCCCCAACAAACCCCGCCAGCACGGGTTGGGATCACATCTCCCTTTAATAGGGAAATCATGAACGCCGAAATCCTGAGGGACTGCCGTCCCTCGACTGGCTTAACATACGATGGGGTGGGAGATCCCCACGTACACCTGAGGAGTTACCAGGGTGGCCTCATGCTGCTAGGGGCCACCGACGCGGCAATATGCAGGCTGTTCTTCAGCACCCTTCGGGGACCAGCCCAGGAATGGTTCGGAACATTGCAACCCGGATCGATCGGAAGCTTTGCAGAGCTATCCACCTTATTCTTGGCCCAGTTCGCCTCCAGCACAACCCCGAAGCTGCATTTCGGGTATCTGACCAGTGTGAGACAAGGACCGAAGGAATCAATTTCCGGGTTCCTCACCAGGTGGAGGACTGAAACCCTGAAGGTGACCGGCATGACAGATGAGACTGCCATCCTTCTTTTTACCGATGCCCTTCAGACGGGGGATTTATACAGGGAGCTGAAGAGAAACCCGGGAACCAGCTACCCAGACATCCTAGAAAGGGCCAGGGGTCATGCGGCCTTGGAAGAAGAGATCAAGATAAGGGACCGAACGGCCCCACAGCCTCCCACTTCAAGGCTGGCAGAACGTTTGGGACCCGCACCGGCAGCGGCAACACCTCATCGCAGGACTGCGCGCTTCACCCCCCTGGTCATGTCTATAGCCGGTGTTTTTCATTTGGAACACAATGCTATTCCTCCCCCTACTGACACAAGGCCCGTGATGGGACCTACCCCGAATGCCTACTGTAGGTACCACCAACGGAATGGACACTTCACAAAGGATTGTCACGCCCTACATGTGGCAATTGAGGACCTGATCCAAAAGGGCTACCTGAGGAAGTATGTCAGCACCAACCCGAACAGCCCTTCCCCCAACCAGCGCCCTCCCCGGTCCAATAGCTGGAAGCGGGATGCCCAGCGGGATGCAGAACCCAGTAATGATTCATACCTCCCCCCTATAGAGGAGGCTGAGTGATGTGTGTTTTCTCGCACTTAAAAAGGATGTAGTAAAGTGGTTGAAAGTACGAGTATCGTCTCCACAGGGACGGACAAAAGGGAAATAAAGATTAACTAAACTTTAGCGATTAAAAAGAAATAAATGAAATAAAAATGCAATTGTGCGAGATTGGTTGATTGATTAAACTAAAACTAATGCTAATGAGCGAATAAAATAAAAGTGGTTTCTTTTCAATTAACGACGAAGGGAACAGGGATTGATTCCGGGGTAACCAGATTTCTGGCAGATCAGGCCTAATTACATGAATTTAATTTAATTGAGCCTAGCTAATCATTACTAAGTTCTTACCGCTCTCGCGGCGTAGAGTACAATAATTTAGGGGACCAGGCTGATCTCTCATGCTACAGGATCCTAAATTATTGCCAAGACGAACGAGCTTACGGCCCCTTAATCGCTACTAATCTCTTAGCGAACGATTAAGTGTGTGTGAATGTGTCCTAGAACAAATTAGATCTCTCTTAATTCATTCTACATGCAATTGTAATTCTAGCTGCAGTCTAGGTTACAAAAGATATCAGTTAAATTATTCAAACACAAATTAAATGGCATTCATGCAATTAAACCAACAAGAATCTAGCCATCAATCATGATTAACCCCTTCATCAACCCCAAATCCCTAATTAAACTACTCACAATTCATAATTGAAGAGTCAACAGAATTGGGATGAATAGAATAAATTGTCATTAATTAAAAAGATGAACTTACAAATAATCCCAGGGTCTTGGAAGAAAATAGCGTAAAAACGGTGTTAAATTCGTCCCTAGGCCTCTCCGTAATGTTCGTAACCCTCAAAAGTGGGTATGGAGGCCTTATTTATAGAAAACAGTAGAGTTTGAGCTAAAATAGGATAAATCGGGGCCAGGCACGGTGCCAGGCACGATCGTGCCTGCGACCGTGCCTGCGGAAGGGGCGCGTAAAAAAATATGCAGACACGATCGTGCCTGCACCGGACACGATCGTGTCTGGCCACCAGTAGCTCCGTGTTGATTTAGATGGCAGGCACGATCGTGCCTGGCCTAGGCACGGCCGTGCCTGCCCTTTTCTTCACCATTTTGCTTCGTTTCTCGTTCCGAATGCTCCCGAATGCCTATGACGTCGATCCAAATGCTCTTTCTTCACCAGAATTTCGTCGTGAATCTCCCGGTGGCCTCCAAATCTTCCAAATCTCTCTCGAATGCCTTCAAACCCTTCCCGAATGCCTCTCAAGCGCCGATTGCCGGATTCTAACTTCTTCAAATCACCTCCAAATGCAATGAAACTTGATCCAACGCCTGTTAAACACAACTTGAGCCAAAATTGAGACTTGCAACGCCTTAAAGCCAGGAAAATCATCAAAATCCGACTTAAACACGCATCAAATGCGTGTCTAAATACGGACTTATCAGACTCCCCCACACTTAAGCTTTTGCTTGTCCTCAAGCAAATCGAACAACGGGACTTACGATAATCACCACACGGAATTTAAAACAGTTAGCATACATACGTAGTTAAAGGGATATTCACAGGACAGACAATTTAAATCAAGAAAATTCTTCCCTAAACTACACCTTTGTACTCAAGCTAAACTATTTGACACAATTATTCACAACATCCTCAAAGTAATGACAGCATACACAAATAAGCTAGCTACTGATCAGAAGGACTTGTGAATTTGATGGTGAATGGTTAACGGATATAGTCCCTTTATTTTGAGAGGTAGGAATATTCTAACAAAGACTTAATGTATTTAGGAACTTCAGGGCTATTTTTGGGGATAGGGAACTCAGTAGACCACAAATTAGGAACAATCATTTACGCCTATGCAAAGAGTAAACATGGTGTACAACTAAGCTAAACCGTCTCGGCGCATTTGTGCTTTGACGTATACTTGAAGTACGCGGAGGACTAAAGCTAAATTTCGAAATAGCCTCCAAGTTCATTAATTTTAAGTTTAGTTTTCCTTGTCATGTTGGCACGAGAACGCCGTTTCTTTCGAAAGATACCCAAGTCTCATCTTACGCTTTTTGACCGGGGCTCCCATTCTCTTTTTCGTAAAGTAAGAGGTCTAGCTATATTAATTTTTCACCTTTCGGATTCTCACTAGACATTACCCCATTCTAATCTCGGCCTCACCAAGGAAAAATAGCAATTAAAGTTCATTAATTTAAAAGTGAATCCATGCCTACAATGCAATCCTCGAAAGTATCAAATTCCTAAAAAGTGACTGCTCTTACCCCATTTGGGGCATAGGAACAGTGCCAAAAATGGCTCTTACACAAAATTCCTTAAACTTATCAAATTAATCCCTTAATTCCCTAAACATCAAGACTAAGTCAGAAATATTCACGGGTAAGGAAACAGGCCATTTGGCTATGAAGCTCAATTAATTGGGTAAACAAAGAACAGTCAGGCTCAAAATGGCTTCTCCTAAAGGACTTTTCAGGTGGGGTAGATAATTAATGGAAAATTCAATGGGTGACTAATGCCTTCATCCTTTCAACAACTAGATTATAGTGCAAGCAATTTAAGCCTAAATACTTTAAGAATGTTCTAAAAGCATAGTCAAAACTCTAGCCAGCTCACAAAGACACAGTTTAAAGAAAAATTTTCAAAATTTTGCATGAATTTCCTATGAATATACAACTAACACCTGCGCATGCTAGCTCTAACAAATCACATGTGACAACTACTGCCCGAATGCCCAATTCACTCCCCCACACTTAAACTTTGGCATCGCCCTCGATGACCAAATATGCATTATGTACGAAGGGTAAAGAGGAAAGGGTCACGCGTGCTCATAATTAACTCAAGTTAACATTACGCATCAAGTTCAAAGAATCATGGAAACTCCCCTATCGCGTTGGTCAGTCAGGAACAGAACTGGGTCTTGATTCGCACGAGCACATTCATCCACTAAGCTGCAACAAATCATGAACACCAAGCAAAACACAAAATAAAGAGTTAATGTAAAAGAGTGAGAGTGTGAGTGTGATAGTGTTTACGGTACAGTCATCCAACAATATCATGATACAGATGCTAGCAGAGGACAATCTAATGAAATCTAAAACTGAGGAGGGGGCGGCGGTGGATAGGCATCGAAGAATGAACTCCAACTGGTCTCCATGGAGGTGAGTCTCTCATCAATCCGTGTATACTGAGACTGGAGCTGTGAATAGTGGAGTGCCTGGTCCTCCCGCATCTCTCTGTAGAAATCCTGCTGCTCGAAGCGCATCTGATCGAACCGCTCATGCTGCTCAGCGGACAACTGCCGATAGACGGCATCCTGATGCGCATGCATCCCCGCCCAAGAATCCGGAAAAGCTGTGCCGTAGGGGGGTGCATCGTATGAAGCCTCGTGAGCAGCCTCCTCCATCTCTACCTCATCATCATCATCAGCGTCGTCATCATCATCGTCATCCGCAGCTCGCTGTCCGCCTCCTCCTGCTGGTGCTGCCGGCTGTGTCCTCCTCCTCGCCACGCCAGTGTTGACCTCGGGGAGCCGGGTCAAAGCAACAAACCTGGAGCTTTCCTCCATCCTCAGAAATCGATCCCCGAACCCCATCCTCGTCAACATCCTAGTAATGAACGGACCAGCAAAGATGGCCTTGATATGGTTTGTAGCCTGGCGGTGAAAGAGCTTGGCAAGGAGATAACCCATGTGGGGCCTGCGGTTGTGGATCATACAGTACAAACAGAAGAGGTCAGTCTGAGTGACCTTGCCAGCAACCTCGGCCTTGCCGGTGATGGTAGAAGAAAGGAGGGCGTGAATAATGCGGTACTTGCGGGGGTAGAGTAGGGTGCTCGGGGACATCTTCGGGCTGTAGGTCCCGCCATCTCGCGTGATCGACTCCCAGAATGCCTGGCGGTCAACGCCGGGTGGGAAGTCTGTGAATGGGACCTCATGCTGGCCGTTGTCCTCGGCCGCTGTGAAGCTCAAGTGGTATTCCAAGGCACCCATGGAGATGGCGTGGTCCTCTTCAAAAGCTCTGAATCGGATGAGAGGCCGGGTGTTATCATCAATAGAAATAGTCTTCGGCATCTTGAACGTTGCCAGTACCTCGCAGGTGATCTCTCGATAGGTCATGTCACGGATCCCAAAAAATAAGTGCCTCCACCACCCTCGTCTCAATAAGAACATCACGTCATCCCTCACCCCTGCCGCCGTGAGTGAGTCCTCATCCGGGTAGTAAAACGTGCCCATAGGCTTTTGCAGCAGCTCCGTATGCTTCAGTTCGTCCCGCAGTTGCGGGAACCTTGGCTGGTACCGGCTGGTGTTGCCTTGGCTAGAGCCGGCACCTCCACCTCTAGTGTGCTTCTGCCTTGGTGCCATCTGTCAAAACAATTCACAACAAGAATTCCAACGGGGCTTCCAAAGGTTAGAACAAATTTTCCAAGTACAGCAATGGCCCCGTCAGCAATGAATCAAGCGCAAATATCATTATAGTAGAACAAACCCAAGTTTAACCAGAATAGTTGAAAAGTTTGAAGTTTTATTAAAGAAAAGTTCTTTAAATAAAAGTTCAAGTTTTCAACGACACACGGTATAAACAAGGTCACAAGAAAGAGTATTCATCACAACATTGTTTGTAGAATGGAGTTTTTCCCAAAAGAATTTAGCAAAAATCAATTAGAATAGGAGAAGAACTCAATTCTTAATTTAGACAAAGTTTGGCCTAAAAATTGGGGATTCATGCTCAAATTATCTTAACAACAAAGTTGCAACATCACAATCAACAATTCAATTCTAAATTCAAGCAACAAGCACGAAATCCCCAAATTTTTTCTCACATTCATCAATTTTCAACCCTAAATTGGCTAAATTAGCTCAAAAATTAGGGATTTCAATCAAAAGAGGCAAATTTATCAACAAAGAGCATCAATAACATCAATTCAAGCCTCAATTAACACAAAGAAATTACAATCCCTAAGATTCGAGCACATGCAAATTCGAAATTTTCAAAGCTTCAAAGACCTCCATTAATGGTGGAAGAAGAAGAAGAAAAGAAGAGAAGATACCTTTGAGAAGAGAGAGAGAAGAGAGATGCGGTCGAGCTCGGTAGTGCAGCGGTCGCGGCGGACGCGGCGGACGCGGTGGTGGGTCGGCGGTCGTGGCGGTGGAGCTCGATGGACGTTGGAGTCGAGGCTGAGGGAGAAAGAGTCGCAGGTGGGGGAGTCTGAGTCTGGTCGCGTGAGGGGAGGAAGGGGATGGGGTTGGGTTTTGTTTTTTTTTTTTTAAGTCGCGGGGGTAGTCTGGTAATTTCGCCCAGGCACGATCGTGCCTAGGCCAGACACGATCGTGTCTGGCAGGCAGTGGGCACGCTCCTCTCGCGTCCCAGGCACGATCGTGCCTCCAGCCAGACACGATCGTGTCTGGGAGGCAGTAGCTTCGCGTGAATCTCCCCTTCTGCAGGCACGGCGTGCCTGCCCAGGCACGACCGTGCCTGGCAAAATCGTTTTTTTTTTTTTTTTTTTTTGTGGGTTTTTTGAAAAGCAACAAAACTAAACTAAACAAAAACAAATTAAGCTCGGGTTGCCTCCCGAGAAGCGCTATTTTTAACGTCGTTTGCCCGACGCAACTACGCACTCATCTCTCTAAATTCGTGACAAAGGTCACCTCACGCTCGCGTTCTAGCGGTCCTCCGTAGTATTTCTTCAGGTGATGGCCGTTAACTTTAAAACGGCCCTTCTCAGGATGATCAATCTCAACAGTTCCATACGGAAAAACTTCGCTCACTACAAAAGGACCGGACCACCTAGACTTCAACTTTCCTTTAAAAATCTTCATTCGGGGATTGAATAGCAGAACTTGATCCCCCTTACAAACTCTTTTCCTTGCTTAATATGCCGATCATGATAGGCTTTGGTACGCTCCTTACTAATTTTAGAGTTCTCATAGGCCATAAGCCTCCACTCGTCCAACTCGTTGAGCTTCCAAAGCCGTTCACGACCCGCCAAAGACAAATCCTTATTTAATGTTTTCAAGGCCCAGTATGCCTTATGCTCTATCTCTACCGGAAGGTGGCACGCCTTCCCATAAACCAAGTGAAATGGAGTAGTGCCAATGGGTGTCTTATACGCTGTACGCAGTGCCCACAACGCATCATCTAGCTTATCAGACCAATCCTTCCTATGGGTCTCAACAGTCTTCTCAAGGATGGTCTTAATGTCCCTATTCGAGTTCTCAACTTGGCCACTAGTTTGAGGGTGATAAGGGACGCCCCCTTTATGAGTGACCCCGTACTTTGCCAGAAGGCGAGTCATGGGATCATTCCTAAAGTGGGTTCCCCTGTCACTTATCAAAACTCGTGGCACTCCAAACCTAGAAAACAATTTCTTTAGAAAACGAATCACAACTCTAGCATCATTTGTGGGTAGAGCTTCAGCCTCAACCCACTTAGAGACATAATCCACAGCAACCAGAATGAATTTATTACCTTTAGAACCCGGGAATGGTCCCATGAAGTCAATGCCCCAAACATCAAATACCTCACAAGCCAATATAAAATTTTGGGGCATCTCATCCCTCTTGGTAACCGGCCCGGTGCGTTGACACCTGTCACATTCCTGCACAAACGTTAGAGCATCTTTAAACAACGTGGGCCAGAAGAAACCACATTCCAACACCTTACGAGCTGTCCGGTTAAAAGAATAGTGTCCCCCAGTCGGTCCGGAGTGACAATGTTTGAGAATCTCAACTCCTTCGCTAAGAGGAACACATCTTCTAACAACCTGATCAGCACAAATACGAAACAAATATGGTTCCTCCCAAAAATAATATTTCAAATCAGCAAAAAATTTCCTTCGTTGATGAGGTGTATAATCAGAAGGAACAACACCCCCAACAAGATAGTTGGCGATGTCAGAAAACCAAGGCACCTCATCAACGATCCTCAACAGTCTCTCATCAGGAAAAGTACCCTCAATATCTCTCTCACTCAGGGAATCAAGAAAGGGGTTTTCTAACCTACTCAAGTGATCAGCCGCTAAATTCTCAGCCCCTTTCTTATCCCTAATCTCAATATCAAACTCCTGGAGTAGTAATATCCACCGAATCAATCTAGGCTTAGCATCCACTTTTTGCATCAAATATTTAAGAGCAGAATGATCGGTAAATATCACTACCTTAGACAAAATCAAATAAGGACGAAACTTGTCAAGAGCAAAAACAACAGCAAGCAATTCTTTCTCGGTGGTAGTGTAGTTTTCTTGGGCACTATCGAGAGTTTTTGAAGCATAAGAAATAAGCTGAAAATGTTTATCTCGACGCTGCCCAAGAACGGCTCCTACTGCAAAATCACTAGCATCACACATAATCTCAAAAGGCAAAGACCAGTCAGGAGCTACTACCACCGGTGCCTTGACCAGTTTCTCCTTCAAACACTCAAAAGCCTCTAAACACTCCTTTGAGAAGTCAAACGGTGCATCCTTCTCAAGGAGCTTAGTCATGGGTCGGGCTATCTTAGAAAAGTCCTGGATGAACCTACGGTAGAAACCTGCGTGGCCTAGAAAACTCCTAATGGCACGGACCGAAGTAGGGGGAGGTAGTTTAGAAATCACATCAACCTTAGCCGGATCAACCTCAATCCCCCTACTTGAAATCTTATGCCCTAGGACCACTCCCTCACTAACCATGAAGTGGCACTTCTCCCAGTTAAGTACCAAATTCACCTCTCGACACCTAACCAGGACTTTCTTCAAATTCTCTAAGCACTCATCAAAAGTATCACCATACACAGAAAAGTCATCCATAAAAACCTCCATAAACTTCCCAATGAAATCCCCAAAAATAGCAAGCATGCATCTCATAAAGGTAGCAGGGGCATTACATAATCCAAACGCCATCCTCCGATAAGCAAAGGTACTGAATGGACATGTAAAAGTGGTCTTATCCTGGTCCTCGGGGGCTATGGGGATCTGGAAGTATCCCGACATCCCGTCAAGGAAACAATAAAATTTATGCCCTGCTAGCCTCTCTAAAATCTGATCAATGAAGGGGAGAGGGAAGTGGTCCTTCCGGGTGGCGGCATTCAACCTTCGGTAATCAATGCAAACCCGCCATCCGGTGACCGTACGTGTAGCAATCAACTCATCTTTCTCATTCCTAACCACAGTCGTCCCCCCTTTCTTGGGAACCACCTGGGTTGGGCTGACCCAAGGGCTGTCTGAAATCGGATAAATAATCCCTACATCTAACAGACGGATGACTTCCTCCCTGACCACCTCCTGCATATTAGGATTCAATCTCCTTTGTGGCTGCACTACCGGTTTAGCATTATCTTCCATCAAAATTTTATGAGTGCAGAAAACAGGATTGATTCCTTTCATGTCAGAAAGTTTCCGGGCTAGAGCTTCCCTTTGTTCACAAAGTAAATCAAGACATGCAGATTTTTGGGATGGCTCAAGCCCGGATGCAAGAATAACAGGGAGGTCAGGACTATCATCTAGAAACGCATACTCAAGGTGGGAGGGAAGAGGCTTTAGATTTAATGGAGAAGGAGTAACAATAGAAGAATCAGTCTGACAGTCTTCCTTCTCCACCTTATCTAAGTCATCTTCCTTCCCCTTCACATCATTAGCATCACTTGAGTCCCCCTCCCCATCAAGCATAAGACAATCAAAACTGGGGAGGAGCTCAAGATCCTCTGCTGACAAACTATCATCCAAAAGAAGATCAAAGAAGGCTTCATCAGAAAGCATGTTAGGAATGCAATCCTCCACCAAAGAATCAACCACATCCATGTAAAAACACTCACCACTATCTTGACAGGGCCTCTTCATTATTTTGGACATGTCAAAGGTGGCAGACTCATCCCCAACGCGGAGAACAAGCTTACCGTCTCCAACATCAATAAGTGCACGGGCAGTTGCCAAGAATGGTCTGCCCAAAATCAATGGTACCTCCCGATCCTGATCCATGTCCAAAATAACAAAGTCTACCGGAAAAATAAATTTGTCCACTTTAACCAACACGTCTTCAATAATCCCTTGGGGATATTTGACTGAACGATCGGCCAACTGAATGCACATACGTGTAGGTTTAAGTGGACCGAGTGCAAGCTTTTCATATAAAGCAAGAGGCATCAGATTAATGCTTGCACCCAAATCAGCCAGGGCCCTATCAAAAGTAAGATCTCCTATAAAGCAGGGAATAGTAAAAGAACCTGGATCCTTAAGCTTCTTCGGCAGATCTGTCCGTATCACCGCTGAGCACTCCTCATTAAGCGTCACAGTAGACGCTTCTTCCAGCCTCCTCTTGTTCGTGAGCAAATCCTTCATAAACTTCGCGTACTTCGGCATCTGAGCTAGTGCATCCACGAATGGTAAGTTAATCTGCACTTGTTTCATGAGATGCAGAAACTTACCAAACTGGTCACTATCGTTCTTCCTAGTCAATCGTGCCGGATAGGGGAGAGGTGGGGTGTAATTCTTGACCGGAACGGACTGTTTTGGTGCAGCCGCCACCTCTCTTCCCTCATCTTTCTCCTTCTCTTCCTCCCGGACAGCCGGTTCAACTTGAACTTCATCGGGCTTCTTTGTTATGGCAGCAGGTTCCAGCTCTTTTCTGCTCCTCAAGGTGACTGCCTGAACATGTTCTCGTGGGTTTGGTTCAGTATTACTGGGGAGGGATCCCTGAGGCCTCTCAGATACAGCCTTAAAGATTTGCCCCAATTGAGTTTCCATGTTATGCATCCTTGCATCATTCACTTGCATGTATTTCTTGAATGTGTCTTCCAAAATAGAGAATCTTTGCTCGGTCTCTTTTCTAAAACTCCCTTGCTGCGGCTGAGGTGCTTGTTGTTGGCCTTGAGGTACCTGGGGTTGATTAAAGTTTCTTGACTGCTGCTGATTTCCCTGCCCGTATTGCCCTTGCTGCTGCTGTCCGTAGGGCTGATTATAATAGCCCTGTCGCTGATAATACATCGCATCCACTTGCTCTACTCCAGGGGCTGCCGAGTGTGCCATCATTGTGCATTCATGTGGCGAATGGAGTCCCCCACACATAGAACAAGAGGGACTAATAGGAACGGGGGCTACCATATTCACACTGGGCACCGAGAGAGCAAGTTCCGTCTTCTTCTGATTGTCGTCCACCGTAGTAGCAAGCTTCTGAATTAAACTGGTCAAAGCATCTACCCTTGCAGAAAGGGCAGAATTCTCACTGATCTCGTACAATCCCGGGGCCTTCTGGTGAGGTGTGTCCCGAGAACTGTACCATGAAGCATTATTAGACACAATCTTCTCCACTAATTCTTCCGCAACCTCAGATGGCAACTGAGGAAAAGCTCCACCTCCCGAAGCATCAAGCATCATCTTTCCTTCATTGTTGAGTCCACTATAAAAACAAGATAGAACCTCGCAATCAGTCATCTTGCCTTGAGGGCAAGCTCTTCTCAGCACCTTGAACCTCTTCCACGCCTCAGCTAGTGTCTCCAAAGAACCTTGCTTGAATTCCTGTAGCTGCTTCTTCAACTTTATGGCCTTTGATGTTGGGAAGTATTCTTTTATGAAGGCCTTGTGCAGTTGATCCCAAGTCTGAATGTGGTGATGTGGATTGCTATCCA